CGATCCACTCTTGTATAGTATATCCCATATCCATCTTAGTGAATCCAGGTAAGGGTGGATCCGAGGTAAGTCTTGGTGGATCTTGCCTTCTCGTACATCGCTCATATCAGATCCATCGTCATTCCATACGTGGTGCTGCTCGCCATGGCTAATCCACCACAGGCAACTTGCATCCGTGCCAAACAACCCAAATCCTCTATAATCACTTGAAATTGTCACTGATTCGGGATAGTGACCCCGCGTCAGGACCATTCTCTTATTTCTGAGAAAGCACTTCACCACAATACGGTATATGCTCACATGGCACAGCACCTCGACACACAGTATGGCCCACTAGCTACCCGCGTGATGAGACAGCTACTAATCTACGAAATTACGATCGAGCGTCCGATCGCATCACAAGGCGGCCGCGGCACGTATCTTCTCTTCTTTGATGGAGGCTCCCGTGGCCCAAAGACGCTTAGCAACGGCAACGAAGTTGGGAACAAGCATCGACCATCGGATCACCATCCTAAACGTCATTATGCTTCCCTCGGTTCTATTCACAGCAGCGGCCTTCGACATGCCTAAATGGGCAGACAAGCAACTTAGGAATCTGCAAAAACAATTTCTGTGGAGGCATGCAACGGCAACAGAGAGTACTCGTCACAAGGTCGCTCCAGGCCTAGTCTTCGCTCCTAAACAGGCAGGAGGAATGGGACTCGTCTCAATCCCGGTGGCGTGCAAGACCCAGAGGGTAAAACAAACGATCCTCTGGCTAGTCCAACGCAAAGACTCGTACTGGCAGGCGTGGAAGCATTGGATGTTCCGAGGGACATCACTTGCTTGGGAGAATACACTTACGCCCAGAAACAAGCTCACACGACCCTTGCACTCAGCGGGAGTATCACCAGGAGACAAATTACACCAGCTAGTCAGTGAATGTTTTCAACCCACCGCAGAGTTGGAAGGCGAGGCTATACTGGAATACCAGATAGCACTTAATGAGCTAGAACTAGAATCGATCAGTTGGACTGCAGCGGGGACGTGGATCATCGAGCTACCATGGGAGCTCGGGTGTACACAACGCGAAATGAGTACACAAGAAGAACTCTACTGGCCGGCGTACACGTGGAATGACAACCCGTGGATTGTCGATAACGTAGGCAGAACCCTGAGTACCAAGAAGTTCAACCGAATCCAACCTTGCACGTTGGAAGAGCTTCAGATCACACGAATAAGCTCTAAAAAATGTATTCCCTCATCATACCGGTCGCTGGGGAGGAGGAGCACCAACAGGCAAAGCTACGGAGGTGGGGTCTGGCGATCTTGATGAACGCCCCGGCCCTACCCATGGGAGCAACATTGGCAATTACGAAAGAGCTCACTTTACGACACCCGCCAGAACTGGAAAATGAATATCGGTGGGAGTGGCAACCGGACGGCCTTGCAATAGGCACGGTCGTCGTGGGGTCGGCGGCGGGAGCCAGTATCACCTTGGAACAGCAGAGAAACGGACTGGCTTGGACTCCAGTTGGAGCAGATTACGGAGGAGAAGGCACATCAGCAGACATACGAGTGCTCCAAGCACTGGGAGCAGCAGGAAAGGTAGTCTTTTATGCTCACCCCAGCGTCCACAGTTGTCCGTGGAATGTTCAAGAAAATATCGCGAATAACCATGTGCTGAAAGCACTTAAGCAGCAGCCGTTTAAACGGTACCGCAATGAAGTAGAACAGCTTCAGCGACCAGTAGAGCGACTTCACGAGGTGGTAGCCGGAAGCACCTGGCAACGCGCAGCGATGCACCAGACGCCAAAGCAAGTCTGGGCCCACAGAAATCAGCTAACGGAGTATCAAGTATGGGTAGCGTATCGAGTTGCGGTACGGCAGCTCAACTTGTACCACGAAGGCAAGAAACATGACAGCAGTTGCAGAAAACTAGCAGCATGTCAAGGGCAAAAGGAAACGATGGAGCACATCTTCTGGGAGTGCTCCTGCGCCCAGGCTTGTTGGGGTGAAGCTCATCCAGCAGTGGACTAGGGAAGCATGGGAGCCCCAAAACATCGAGAACTTCCTATTGAGCTGCGCGAGCAGAAAATCGCCTCCCGTATCGCCCTCATTAGTGGAGAAGATGCAGAAAACATACCCGGACGACATTAAGCACATCATACTGGAATGGAAACGCATCTGGCATATCCTGTGCACAATTTGCCTTACCAGCCTGTGGACACAGCGCAACAGGGTCGTCTTTCAACAAGCCCAGGTGACAGAGGATTCCAGTGCGACAGAATTTTGGGGGACGGCAATGCGTCAGCTGAGAGCGCTGGGGAAACGTGAATGCCGACAACCGGAGACTCAATTGCGAGGAACTCATTTACTTCTATGCCTGCGGGTACTAGAACAAAAACCACGAGAGCACCCGAGACAGCGGGTGAGCCCCGTACAATTACCGGACTCGCAAGAGGAACCGGCGTTGCTAACCAGGCTTAGGAAATACCAGACAGCTAGTCGTCGTTAAGACCAAATAGAATGTCTGCCTCTCTCTCTCTCTTGTCGATAGAGCAATTGTGTCGAAAAGATTGCTTGCTGCGTATCGAACGACCGACAAAAAAAAGGTGTGGGATGCTGAAGTGGTACACCGTGTACAAGATTCGGTGCTCGTGCGAGGCTACCGATCCGCTCTTGGCTGAGCCACCCGTGGGCCAACCGGTCTCACTGATAATGACTTCCATGTCGCCAGCCATCTTGAGCAGAGGCTGAATACGCTTGTTGAACTGAGCGGCAGCCTTGTCCGCCTCGATCTTCTCCCAAAAGGGGAACTGCGTGTGGCTCCGAAGCCCACTGGTTCTGTCCAGGACAGTACATTTGAGGTCTCTGTACTACCTTAGACAGCGTGCACGCACGAATCTAAAAACTACGCAAGGATCATGTGGGAAAACAGGCCGACCGGTGGATGGATCGTAGATGCAACAGGTCGCACATGCATGTGTCTCTGCTGGAACAAAGCTGGGGTTTGCTTTCATGTAATGAAAGCGACTCAGTTTGCTGGGCTCCCTTGCCCTGGCATTCCCATGCAGTCACAGAGATTCGTGCGTCCAGTTCACCAGCAAAGATCTGTGCGGAGATCGGCTACGAATGGTGAAGATGCAGTTGGTATCGCAGCGGGGCCGGAAGCAGGTTTCCCGGTATATGGTCCAGCGACGTTGGCAGATAGCCAGGACATCACTGATGCCAGAGCCGATGCGCCGCGCAATGCGAATGCTGGTCCGGTAAGTCACGCCGTGGGTGTAGTTGGTGCTGCGCCAACCAACGCGAAGAATCTTTCCTTCATTTGCCGCGTTTGGAGACTCCAGTCACTAATACTCTGCGTAGATCCCATCGGTCTAGGACTCCCACGCGTAGAGCACGTGAGTCAAGCGCTCAAAACAAGCGTAGACGCAGGTAAAGGATCGGCCTTATGTTTCGAAAGAACATGCTCCGCTCCGATCATTGTGAGCCGATCATACTCTATTGCTCTACGTAGCATCTGCTGATCATTTTCTCTTTACATCCATACATGCACTTGCACCGCAAATTACAGCTCTTGTTTGTTCCCACATTTAGGTTTTTGCGCGAGAAGGCCGAGAAGGCCGAGAAGAGTCCGAATACGTGTGAGGCCGCATCTTCCAGATCCGTCAGTATCCAAGGACAGTGGCACTAGCACATGAAGCTCCGATCGTTCGCAGCCGTGATGGAGACTTAAGATCCACTCGCACATGTTAGAACGCTGCTGTTATCGATGGGACACGTTGCAGTCAACAACTTGCCTCAGCTAACCGTAGGCGTACAAGCTGAAGGGGGATGAACTCGTTCAACACCATCAGGCATTCTCCAATTGGCTCCCGAGAGCGCAATCCACCTCCTGCCAACTACGGCGACGACGTTCCCGGCAGTCCAAGAAGGCCCAATGTGCTAAATATACCGCCCTTCCATCGTCACAAACTCCCAGTGGGGCGAAGATCGAAGATCCTGATGCATGACGCCGTCCGGTGACACCTCATCGCTGCGGCAGTTTCCTCTACGAGATGGTGGAGAAGACGACATTACCTCGTATCAAGCACGACAAGGACCAGCACTCTCTCTTCGAATCTCTTTCTGCGCTAGTGTGCAGCGCCTTTGGAGCCATGAAGATGGCGCCATTCGTCGCCCGGCGTTTCTCCTCCTTCTTTCCGTTCGGCCCAGTCTCGCCAGAGGCGAATGGCTGTGTTCGCTCGGCATCAAAAGATTCGGCGTGACGAACGCCAAGACGCAGGTGCACCGCAACCTGAACTACGACAGATCGCCGTCCACGAGGAGAAGAACGGCGAGCGTTAGTTCGTCAAGAACGGCACGTACACGATCGACACGAGCAAGTTCACGGGCCGCTCGCCCAAGGACAAGTTCATTGTGGACCAGGCCCCGTCCAGCAAGAACATTTGGTGGGGTGACATCAACCAGCCCGTGAGCCCCGAGGTGTTTGACGAGCTGTACCAGACCGTGAGCGAGCACTACGGCC